GACATTCTGGAATACATTCATTGATAGGGTTGTCATAAGTCAGAGACAACTTGACAGCACACAACAACAAACACGTTGGACTGTACTACATTATTTCCATTTGAATGAGTTGGGCGTAGAGCTGCGGCATAGCCACTCTTAACAATGAACAAAAAATACTCTTCCTATATCCCTTGTTATACCTAGCAGAGCCTGCATCAAAACATAGGGAAGCCATTGTAAAAATACATATTTTTGACAGACACTATTCATATATTTCATGAATGTATTTCGAAATGTCTTTCATTTCCTGCCCCTAGCTTAAGAGAATTGGAGAAATTTGTAGGAACACATAGCAGAGTAGGGCAACCCACTGTAAAAATTGAGTATAAAATTCAATTTTCACTTTTTAAAAAAATCTAACTAACCTATCTCGGCCAATACGAAAAAATGGACAATACGGACAATTATTTTATGAGGGTCAACAACATTGTGAGAAAGCTTTCAAGATCTCCAGCTTTCATTACCAGGCAAGAAATAATGAGGCAGGAGAGAGAGGAGAGAGAGAGAAAAGAAAGTCTGCCTGGCTGTTAAAAGTCATGATGTTTGCATGGCCAGAGTCTTAGGAGAGGGAGAGGAAGAGCAGATTTATTGGACTGGGCTCTGCCTTTGGGTGGGTGCAGAGCCTTTTCAGCCCAAGGCTGCATGCCACGTCAGAGAAGCTCTTGGGGTCTGCATTCCAGTGGGGGGAAGCAAAGTACCAAGTATACCAGGATATCTTAGCTTAAAGCTTTTACTGACAGTAACTAAACTTTAGGAGAGACATTTCCACTTTTGGAAGGGGGAAAAAAACTGCACAAATGTTGCGCGAGTTTGGTACTGGAGAGAAAGCAGATGGGGCCGGGGCAAGGAGTGTGGGCCATCTGGGGATGTTGTGTTATGCCACAGGTGGGGTTCCTCTTACATCTTGGACTAGTGGAACAAATACACACATAATGACCAGTTCTGTCGTTTCAAAAAAAAAAAAAAACAAAAAAAACCCAGTTGTTAAGTGGATATGTCCCCAACCTTCACCCTTGATAGGCAGGGAGCAATTATCAGTAATCACAACAGTGTGTTTATTTCTATACTTTTACAGTATCTTACAGTACCACCTGGTAGCCCAAGTTCTCTAGGTAGCATGGATACATTTCAAACATAAATAGAAATATTAAAACAAAGAATAAAAACAGTGCGGAATGAATCCAGAAACAAAAATAAAACCACTCCAGTACATAAATTCAGATTAAAACCACCAAGAACAAGATAGTAGATATGCATAGGATTATGCTGTAAGCATACTAAATTACTGGCTAATATCTTAGCACATCTGTAGCCCTTTTTATTTGTTGTGTACCATTATTGTTGTTGTTACATGCCATCAAGTTAACTCTAACTTATGGCGAGCCGATAAAGGAAAGCCCCCAAAAATGTCCAATCCATGACAGCCCTGCTCAGCTCTTGTAAACTCAGGGCCGTGACTTCCTTTATGGAATTGATCTGTCTCATCACTGGTCTTCCTCTTCTTCTGCCTTTGACTTTCTCCAGTGAGTCTTGCCTTCTCATGATGTGTCCAAATATGACAGCCCCAGTTTTGTAATTTTTGCTTGTAGGGAAATTTCTGGCTTGAGTTGACCTCAGACCAGCTTGTTCTTCTTTCTGTCAGTCCAGGGTATTTGCAAAGCTCTCCTTCAGCACTACATTTCAAATGCATCCATTTTCTTCCTCTCAGCTTTCTTCACTCTCCGACTTTGACACCCACACACAGTGACTGGGAAGTCATTGGTGTGAATGCTCTTGGCCTTGGCTTCCCATGAAACATCTGTACTTTCGATGATCTTTGGGTACCACAGTGCATAGGATTTGGTGCCCTTTGTGGGCACAGTGCCATGGTAACCCTTTGCCTCTGGGTGGACCTCCTCTCTGAATGGTGCTCTCTGCAGATTCTCTCTGTAGCTCTGCAGGTAATTTGAGTGAAGCCAGGGAAACAAGTCACACATTCCCTCCTCACTTTTTGGGGGAGTGTGAGAGCTCAGTGCTTCAGACATTTATGAGCCTTGTGTACTTCACCTTTAAAGCGCTCGACACTAATCTGCTCCCTGCCTCTTTATAACTTCTAGATTTCTTATCTGTTAGAGTGGTTGCCAACCCTGATTCATTCTCTCTCTCTCTCTCTCTCTCTCTCTCTCTCTCTCTCTCTCTCTCTCTCTCTCTCACACACACCCACACCCACACCCACACCCACACCCACACCCACACCCACACCCACACCCACACCCACACCCACACGAGAGAGAGAGAGAGCGAGAGCGAGAGCGAGAGCGAGAGAGAGAGAGAGAGAGAGAGAGAGAGAGAGAGAGAGAGACTTCTGAGTATGTGCATTCTACATTTTCAGCTCACTTAAATCATAACATCATCATGGCTACAAGAATAAAATGGAATTTGCTTCTGCTGTGCTGATGCCCTCAGGAGTCTGGTTAATCCTGTGGAGGGGGATTCCTGCACAGAATTAAATGGTCCAACTACAGATGAGTCCTTGCTGAATTCTCCCAGTTTTATAACTCTAGATTTATAAGAGCAGAGATACCAGGTATGTCAAGGTACCATGACAACCTACTTGGGCAATAAGCCATGGTGGCTTGGTTGTTGTGCAAATAGCCCATAGTACACCCAACAAACGATCAGACTTCCTTCCTTCACCCCTCTGTTCTATGGATACCCCTGGAGACACTGTGGGAAGAATGTCTTTCCCTTCTCTACTGTAGTATGTGCTGGTTTCAGCTAATCACAACTTTTTGGCACTTGCAGCTTTTGCTTTCTTGTCTCTCATCACTCCCATTGTTACAGCCACAGACAGTCCCTTTAGAGTGACTGCACCTCCACACTCTTTCTGGGGAAAAGCAGGTTTGACAACTAGCTGTCACAACCCTGGGTCTGTTCAAAAGGATGATTTGACAGGGTGGTGGGGCTTGTGCGGGTGAGACACAAATGGCTATATATCCCAGTCCAACCCCCACCCCCAGCTCCAGTGTCCTGTCAAAATCCCTTTTAAAGGGGACCTGATGATGGGTTGTAAACCCAGTCATTGGAATCCTTCAGGTAAAAAGAAATGACAGGCAGAGGAAAGATACAAAATAGGGCAAGTCATCCTGCATATTACAGGACCAGCACATTTATTCCACCCAACACAAGACGAGAAAATAGCAACCGCATATATTTTAGTATAAAATATACATGGTCACTATTATTGGGTCTCCCTTGTTGGCATTCGAATTGCATAATGTAAATATAAAGTGACAGCTTCCTCGAAGCCCTTTGTGGTCTGCCATTCTTGTAAGTGCACTTACATGTCCTGAAACTAAGATGGGCTTAGATGAAGTTTCACCAATGGAAAATACTGCTAGGTTCTTAATTTCTACAAGCTGCAGGCCCTGCATTTCTTGGCACAGAATTTTGATTACCTTGGTACATTTTGGTGGCAGCTGTGCTTTGATCTGTGACGTTCAGCTTCTTCTAGCTGTGAGTGCCCTGGTGGCAGAAAGTTAGTAGGAAGAGATTGGACCCCTCACTCTAGTTCTGTGGAATGGGCTGCCAGCCAGTCTAGCTGCTGACCATTGCTGCAGTCAGAGTAAACCTGCAGCACTCCTATTGTCTGCAGTTAATGCAGAAGAGGGAACAAAGCCATTTGCTTTTGCCAGCCTGGAGCCAGCTGGAAACAAAAGCTGTGGTGAAGCTCACTCCCAGGGAACTGTGTTTAGGACTGCAGCCAGAGGCAATAGGGTAAGCTACCTTGGCTATAGAAAAGAGCAACCTAGGATTCTAGAAAGCACATGGATTGGTTCAGGAGCTCCCCCTTTCTCTGGTATCAGAACAGACCCACATTCATGTCTTTCTCATGAACTTCCCCCAAAAAACTGCCGTGGAGAGCTCTGTGGCTTGCATGGTAACCAAGGCTGGTGGGCTGGGTTTTTACTTCACTGCAACTTGGTTCCTTGAGAACAGAACATGGATATAGATTAGAGTACTTTGGGTGGCGGATAGAGGAGAAGTTTCAGATTAGCAATTCTAGAGTAAGTGGTCAGCCTCAGACCAAGGGCAATATTTTGATGATTGGCTTTGTTATGGTGATTAAATAGGCATCCTTTCAACAGCTTTTAGCCATGTTTGAACATGGTAGTGAGCTTGAATTAGAACAGTGAATGTTATTTGAAGGGCTCCGTTTGAACAACTTTTCTCCCACCTGATTATCTGGCACTCTGATTTAAGGGTGTAGTGACACAGCGTTCTGTTCTCTTCTGTTCAGTTCACTGACTTCTGCCACCTTGGAGGAATGCTTGGGTTGTTTTACAGCTGACTGGTAATTATTTATCTGAGAAATAATTTGAAAAGGGCTCAGATTAGTCGCCTGAAGGGGAATAAAACTAAGTATAATTTGATCCAAACACACAAACTTGCACACAGATCTATAGTTTTACTTTGCTGTAAAACCTGCTAATGCCTACTATTTGCTAACATTTACTTCATGCAAGGGATAAAGAATTGACCTGACCAAATTTTCCTGAATTTTACGGTGCAATTCTATGCATGGTCAGACAGAAGCAAGTCCTATAATTTGAGCATGTTCCAGAAAGCCATAAACTATAAATTCTTCCACACCAAATTTACTAAGTGAAAACCATATTATTATTCTGCAAATGGCAGTATATAAAAGCAAAGCATAAATGAAACAAAATCAGGTGAGAAGGTTATGTAGCAGCCTCTAATTCATTACTGTTCTCCTGATAGCCACTAGGAAGTGGTATCTCTAAACCGGACCCAAATCCAGTAAAAATTTGTATTGGGCATGCTTATCTACTAAAAGTCTGAGTCTGTCGGTGTCAAGATGTGCACATCCCCCTTCAAAAACCTAACACAAAAAAACGTACTGCCAAATCAATGTCTGCACAGGAATTGAGCTGTTCTGCTTGTGTTTCTCTCAACAGGATAATTGAAGCGATCTGCATAGGCTGGTTCACTGCAGAGTGCATTGTGAGGTTCATCGTATCCAAAAACAAGTGTGAGTTTGTCAAGAGACCCCTGAACATCATTGACTTGCTGGCAATAACACCTTACTACATCTCTGTGCTGATGACTGTTTTTACAGGGGAGAATTCTCAGCTCCAGAGGGCTGGAGTCACGTTGAGGGTCCTGAGAATGATGCGGATTTTTTGGGTAATTAAACTCGCCCGTCACTTCATCGGCCTGCAGACACTTGGCCTGACTTTAAAGCGATGCTATAGGGAGATGGTGATGCTGCTCGTCTTTGTTTGTGTCGCCATGGCAATCTTCAGTGCACTTGCCCAGCTCCTTGAACATGGGCTGAAAATAGGGAAGCCCAATGAAGGCTATGCTAGCATCCCAGCCGCTTGCTGGTGGGTTATCATTTCTATGACCACCGTTGGTTACGGTGACGTTTGTCCCATCACTATACCTGGAAGGATTCTTGGAGGGATTTGTGTGGTCAGTGGGATTGTTTTGCTGGCCCTGCCTATTACTTTCATCTATCACAGCTTTGTGCAATGTTACCATGAGCTCAAATTTCGCTCTGCTAGGTACAGCAGGAGCCTCTCTGCTGAATTCTTAAATTAATGAAGAGCACAACAGCATTTCATAGTAGCATTTAACATATTGTAGGAATTAACCGGGCCCTCCTTGATCCTTCCCTCTTTGGTGATTGACGGGCTTTGCCCTCAGAGGAAGAGGTTCGCCTTCTCCACCTGAAGGACGGTCACTTGCTCTTTGTCTCATAGCAGCCAAGATTCACGAGGATGGAAACAGAATCTTAGCTCCTTGAGAGTCTCCAGCTCACCGTACTCTCCAGCCCTTTGGACGTTGCAGTGGTATGCACTATTTAGGATGAAGCACATGCATTTTGTAAAATGTCCATGATTTGGGAACTTTTTAAGATACACAGTTCAAGTTCTGTTTTTAGGAACACACTGGCTTGCATCTGGACTTAGTCATACCTAAAGAAGAACCACTGAATTCAGTGGCACGTAGGTGAGATTCCACCAATTTGTCCCATTGATTTCAGTGGGTCTGCTCTAAGCATGAGAACATCTGGAGCTTGCACATCGCTTGGCCACAATCCAGGTGAAAGGCTTAGATTTATCTCTTTGATCAACTGCCACTTGTACCATACAGCAAGGCATTCTTGAAATCGGGGGGAAATCACAGTCTGCAATTCAGCCTGGGGAAGGAAGCTTGCTCTCCTGGGAGTGGGAAAGCCAGTTGCCCTGCTTGCTATGAAAGGCCTATTTGATACGTCCGATGAAGCTGTCTGGATGGCAGTCATGCATAAATTGTGATTGGAAGGACTTCTGGCAAAATGTTAGGCAAGCTTATTAAATGTTCTTGAAATGGCACAGCTGCATCCTCCCCAAATCAATTCTTGAGTAACAACCTTCTTCCAGGACAGAGATGGCCTTGGAATTAAACAAAGGGGATGCATGGGGGTTTTTTGGACTACTTAATGTCAGCAAGTGGGAGTTAAGCAATAGAAAACATTCTTGCTTGAGGCAGGCCCCCTTCTTGTGCCATCACCTCCAGGGCTTCAACAACACCAGTGCGGGGGTGGGGGGACTGACCAGAGACAACTGTGCCTACAAACTTGACAGAGAGACAGATGGGTAAACTCTGAGCAATGATTCTTCCTCCATGCCATTTGCAGCTCTACCTAGGAAAGGTATTTGGGTTTTGTTCTTTCCCATGGACCCCTGTGAACCTAAATAACATCCTGCTCTTAACATCAGACCCTCTGACAAGCAACAGCTGTGGCTTCCAGACAGCATTACAGAGCAACCTGTTCTTCAGAACTCAATCAGAGGTTCCATCAGGCATGGCTGGCAAGAAGAGAACATTTGCTTGCCGTTACCAGCAGTCTCCTCCCACAGTGTGTAGCCAGAACGGATTGTTGGTTATATACTGAGGCACATTTCCAGGTTGTGCAGAGTGATGGCCAAGCCCTAGTGGCCTAAATAACTGCCTGTATTAATATCCATCCAAGGATACTGTCCAGCTTCTGTCACACAAGGGGCAGTATCCAGAAGCTGCCCTTGTGCCAGCAGGAAGAACCACTAGTATAGTGGTAAGATTTCAGGGTGGGTAATAGGTAGATATCCTGATGTTGGGGACTTCAGCTCCCATCATGCCTGACCATTGGCCATGCCGGCAAAGGCTTCTAGGAACTCAAGTCAAAATCATTTGGAGATCTGTCGTCTCCCTGCCTATATCCTAGAGCAACCAGAAACAAGCTGTAACAAGAACTTCTGGAACTAAATGAGTCAGTGAAGCTCGTGGAAGGGAGCTCCAGTGACCTGTACGGATCCAGAGATGCTAGTTTCATCTAACTCTGGAACTGCTTCAAGGAGCACTAGCTTCTGTTGCACTTGCAACAGACTGCCAACTTTGGGTACTGCCAAGGCCTGCTCTGCAGAAGAGACAGTGAGGAAACCTGCATCTCTGTGCACATCTACTGAAATTGACTGTAGTCCACAAGAGCTCGTGCCATGCTTTGTTTGCTCGTCTTTAAGGTGCCACAAGACTTGTTGCTCTTGCTGCAAAAGACGACTCCTCTGGAAGGGGTTCTTTAATGCTGGAGGTTTGGAAGTGGTTACATTACAAATGCTCGAGTCATTTGCTAATGGAACTGAGATCATCTATTTATGTATAAAGCAATGATAGGTCGCTCATTCTCTTATTCCCTAAAGATTTAAGAGCATGGAAGTAGAACCACTGCTGTATTCAGTTTTGATCCTTCCCTCTGCCCATGCAGCTGAGGAAATAATTTAATCTCTGCCCAAGTCAAGTAAATCTGTATTAACAAATGTGGGGTCAGTGCTGTTACCGGATTTCAGATTTACCACTGCGATGAGAATCTGTTGTTATTTCCATCATGCCACATGTTTTCTGTGAGCCTAAGATTTGTTGCTTTTCTGAGACAGGCATTCCAGTTCTGAATACTTCAGCCTGGAAATAATTCACATGGATACAATGGAACTTCATTCTGAATAAGCATGTTCAGGTTTAGCCACACAGATACATGATTAGGAAGAGATAAAGTTTATAAAACGCAGTTTTTAGTGAGGACTTACTGTGAGCTTTGACTGAGCATGACTTATGTTGCCAACTAAGTTCCAGCAGTATGAAGGCATCTATTTGAATTTGTTCCCCCTGCCTCCCGGGATGAGGTTTAATGAATTATTAACAATCACACTGAAATAGGCACAGTGGCATATTAGTACAGAGAAAGAAGTGAGCGAAGACACCTTCCTAATCAGGAAGGTGATTGGGCAGCCCTGGACAAGTTTCTTTCTCCCAGCCTAACCTATCTCAGACAGTGGGTTCTTTCTCACATAAGTCTTTGGGATAATAAATTGGCCAAATACAATAGCTTTGAGCTCCTTGAAGGAACATGATGGTACATACATACATACATACATACATATATAGAAAGATTTCCTAGAAGTTCTATACATGAGATAGAAAGTAACTTTCCAAATAAAATTGTGAGGGAAAACAAGCCATTGGAAACTGCATTTGCAAAGTACATACGTTATGGTCAGATTTCTGGAAAAAAAAACTAAACCTCCTCTAGTTTCTAATGCTTTTGGCAGCCATTGTCCATATTTCTTTAGATTTTTCTGCAACAATGACTACTGAAACCTTTTCCTTTTTAAGAATGGAGATTGTTTGGATTATCTTGAAGCTTGACATCAGCTATGTTTCACAGGACTGGTGGATTTGTTATCAGATGAAATTGGATTTTTAAATTGCTGTGTTGAATAATGATTTTCATTGAAGGAAGCAATTCTGAACTGATATACTTTACTGTCATTTATTGATTGAGCAAATAAAAACAAAGCATAGCTCCACTGATATGGACAAGGAATCCTCTAGTCGAATGTAAGTTGTACTATGTAAAAAGCACTATATATTCTCTTGTAAATGTAGAACCAAAATAAAAGAAATATTGTTCTTATGCAGTACTGTTCAGTAGTGCCATTCATATAATTTGGAAAGAGCTGCCATTTGGGCCTGTTAATTAATACAGGTGCACTTAAGCTAATTCTGTCTGCTAACAAGCATCTGTGCATGTGTTTTGGTTTATTCACACCCTCAGAACCTTCCGTATATTTGAACTTGGTATGTTCATAATACAAAATGTTTATTGTGAATTTTTGGAGCATCTCTTGTTGTATGTCTTGCTGTTTAACAGCTATAGAAATGTGACAAAATATTCTAATGCTTGGAAGTCATTTTAAGGAGGAAAAATATCAACATCTCAATGGTTTAAGGCAGGTTTCTATCACCTCAGTTTTAGGGTGGTGCTAAATGGTGCCAGCTTTGCCCCAAGTATCCAGTTCTATGTCAGTAATTCCACGAAAAGCTCTGCATATGCAAAATCCAGCTTTCTTACCTGTGGAAAAATTAAAATTGCATCTGATGTGTTCTGACAAATCACAGAGAACTTGGGAACATTCCAAAGGTGCATGAGGGATTGGATGAATCCATGTGTCCCCAAAGCAAAAAAGATCATACGTGTTACTACAGGACTGTGAGTAGGATCACCTTGCAGATAACAAAGAAATGGATCTCTAGACAGGAGGCACCCCCTTGCCTGCGTATTGCTCGCTGCATTAGCTTTGATGTGTTTGTGTTTTCCCAAAGGAATTTGTCCAAATATCTCCCCCGCAAAAAATACTCCGAAAGGAAAAAATAAACTTTATACTTAATATCAGTTACATTTTTGAAAACTATTCAATAGAAACCATTGCTCATGGTCACTATTATTGGGTGCTTCAGACAGAGGCATGAGGTCAGAGACCAGAGAATGATCAAAGTCTGGATGACCGCAGTTTTTGGTTTGGCAACCAAGGCCAGCCAGAATTGTGGATGCTGATTAATAGCATCCTCTTGTTGTAAAGTAACTCCAGGGAAGCAAAGCCCAGGGAATACCTGTAATGCAAAAACACCTGACAAGTTCACTGAAATTCATTGGCTAAAAATATGAAAGTGATAGACTGGTTTCCTTTTCCTTAGAATTGCCCTCTTTAAGCACCTCACATGTTTGGAGTGTATTCCCATGTGATACTGATGGAATATTGTGTCTTGTCTGTTTAGCACATGGTGGAATGCATGAAGTCATCAGCAAGTTACATAAGTAGAAATGGTATTGTCCACAGTTTTCAATGCATACAAAATATCAATTACAATATTTTGGCTGGGGAAATGCAATGTTTATTATGGCATTATCAGTCTATTCTAGTGCATAAAAGCAAAGTTGGATATAGTCTGATGTACAATATGACCTATATTTATTGATTTGTATTGGGTTGTTTTGGGGGGCATTCATTCCTAGGATGGTCATAAGTCTGAGACTGCACAGTAGAACAACAAATTGGGTCATCACCAGAAGTTAGAGAAACCACAGAGAATAAGTTCGATATTTCAAAAAAAGTAGGCACTTTTTTCTTCAGATGAAGTAGGCTTTGGGAATGTGTTGGTTGCAATCTAGTGGAAATCCACCAGCACGAACCCCACTGAAATGAATTGTGCAAGAACACAGCCGTTTTAACTGGCTGCCTCTT